CAGCCACAGGTGGTGGCTTTGGCAATGCCTTCCTTGCCACTCCTCTCTTTTCTCCCAAGGTATCCTCTTCTTCACCCTCGAGTAGAGGGTCTTCCTTCTCATTCGCTTCTTTGGCAACGACCTTCGAGGTCACCTTCCCTCTCCTCAAGAAAATTGCATTCCACCTGGCTTGATCCTTGGGTTTGGCAATGGTTTGAGAGGGTAGGGCTCCTTTTGGTCTCTTTGTGAGGATCCCGACAAGGTTGCTAATTTGCACTTCCAAGTTTTGGAGATTTGCTTGATGGCTTCGGAGTCCCGCCTCAACCGAGGTAAACTTGGATGTTGCCACATCCATGAATTGCTCAATCTTCTCGAACTTCTGGGAGCTTGTACTCACAAAGGTGGTCACAAGGTCTTCAAGTTTAGAGAACTTGTCGACTTGTTGTTTTTGTTGAAACCCTTGACCGCCTTGTGCTTGATATGGTTGTTGGAAGTTCGAGTTCTAGAATTGAGGCCTTTGTTGGATGAATGTTGGCCGAGGTTGATAGTTGCCCATTGGACCTTGGAAACCGGGAGGTCTTGGAATGGTAGGGCAGGACCAAGCAAAGTTCGGATGATTGCGCCACCCGGGGTTGTATGTGTTGCTCTAAGGTTTTTTCCCTCTAGCATTGGCGATGAAGCTCACTTGCTCCTCGTTGGTACTTGTCTCCTTCATCACTTGGCAATCCGCAATTTCGTGATTGGTGCTCAAACACCAATCACAAGACATCACCGCTCTCTTTCCTTGCTTCTTGTCCTCAAGCATCACCTCGATCAACTTGTCAAGCTTTGCTTCAAGTGGAGCACTTGCTCCCACACTTCTTACTCCTCTCTCGGTGGTTCTCTTACTACTTCTCGTCAATCCCCAATCATATCCTTTGAGAGCCATGTCTTCAAGAAATTCGGTGACTTGCAGAGGAGTCATGTTCATCAACCTCCCTTGACAAAGGGAGTCGATAAGGATCTTGTCATCTTGCATGAGTCCTCCACAAAAAGTTTCGATCCGGAATTGCTCCTCGAAGCCATGGTGAGGGCATTGGAGGAAGTAGTCCGAGAACCTCTCCCATGTATCCCTCAACGTCTCATCCTCCTCTTGCTCGAAGTGGGTAATCTTTTTCCTCAACTCGGTCGTCTTGGAAGGAGGACAATATCGGGTCGTGAACTTATTAAGGAGATCGTCCCAAGAGGTGATGGATATAGTCAGACGATTGTTGAGCCATCAGAGTGCCTTCCCCACCAAAGAATAGGGGGAAAGCCTCAATCGCAACGCTTCCTCGGAGACACCACTAATCTTCAAGCTTCCCGCTATCTCAAGAAACCATTGGACATGCTCTCGTGGTGACTCGTGAGAAAGCCCATGGAAGTAGGCATTTTGTTGAATCATCGTCACAAGAGAAGGCTTGATCTCGAAATTGTTGGCGGCCACGGGCGGATGTAGGATTGGTGATTGGATGTCCGCCGCTCGTGGGGCCATATAGTAGCCCATTATTGTTGGCTCTTCATCGGCTTCCGCTTCCACATTTGGGTTTGGGGGCGGATTAACCCCTCATTGCTGATTCCCCGCCATCTCAATCTCAACTTCTTCTTCGATTTCTTCCAATCCGGGACTAACTACTTCTCCCCTTCCTTCACTTCTTCTTCTTGCCTCCGCTTGCTCCTTCCCACGAGCTAGAAGTTGGAGAGTCCGCTTAATGTCCTCGTTCAGTGGTGTTAAAGGCGCCGGATTACTCCGGGTCATGCACCTCCCTACACACACTCAAAGAACACAACTCGTCTGACACAAGCACAACCTTCACGACTTAACAAAACAGAAATTAAAAACTAGATTAAAACCAAACAGACTTTTCACGATAACGGACCGTTGATCCCCGGCAACGGCGCCGAAAACTTGGCTCAATCTGAATACCAAACAAAAGAATCCCTTCTAACGCCCAAGTTTGTTAAACCATAGAAAGGTGTAGTAAAGGATAAACATGTTTAAATATCGACCCAGGACGGTCCATGTACCGCTACTTCGACCGTTTGAAGCATTATCTAGCAAATTGGTTTTGGTGAAAACAAAGGTTTAAAACTAAATTACTTTGCAAAGGTAAAATGGATTTGACTCTAGTTGAGAAAGCTTCACCCTGGTGTTGCTCACGCTAGCTAAAAATTATGACTCGATGATTCGATTAACCGTGTGTGGTTAGGGGGGTCATGATCCGCAGGGGAGTCTAACAAGCAACCGAAGCTACCCTCTTAGGCTCTAGATTGAGGAATAGGAAATGATCCAAGTCACTAACATGACCCTCTCAACTTATCGACTAAGGAGTGGTTAGACTCCACCTTCGAATTGGAGTTCGGACGACCACACACAACATAACCCTAAGTGCTTAATACAAATTAGGAGGGTTGACCATTATCTAATCAAGAATAGGAGGCATAGAATGCCCAAGGAAATCCCAACTCTAAAAGAGCCTCTTAAGCTAAGGAGGGTTCTCTCTAAACTAGGTTAGAATGACAATTAGATTGATAGACTTTCACACAACACAATAATTTCTAAATAATAATATTCACATTAAAACACATCCACACCCAAATCATTCAATTCATACAAGTATTTACATAATTGAAACTAGGATTTACAAACACCTAAGTGAAAGAAAGGGACTACTCCATGCTAAGAGAAGGGAAAACACAAAAGAAGGAAAGGAATACCATCATGAAGATGCAAGCCTTGCTCCTTGTGCAGAAGAAATCCCAAATCCTTGCTTGGAGATCAAACCCTAGCTTTTTCCTCTTCTTTGGTTTGTCACATTCTCACTCTAAAATCTGAAGAAGGAGAAGTCTTTTCTCCCTCTAGGTCTCTCCCCCCTTCTTCTTCCTTTAAGCTGCACACTTAAACCTAGATTGAGTTGAGTTCACTGCCTTCCAGTTCACGATCATGAACACCTAAACGTGTCCATGAACTCAGTATCGTCGTCACAACGTATCGCTTCACTCTCCAGGGTTTACGGTTTGCACTCAAAGTTCACGGTCATAGAGACCGTGAACTGCCTGGTCGTCAGTAACCTGTGGAACCCTCCTAGACACCTTGTTGTTCACGGTATGTAGCTCCAGTTCACGGCCTTAGAGACCGTGAACTCCAATGCCAGGCCTTGAAGTGCAGCTGATTCCTCCTCTTTACCCGGTCTTTGATCCATTTCTTCCAACTTTCGACTCCGAGGTCGGTTTTACCTATTAGGATCTGAAACACACTGAAACCACACGAAACCTAGCGTAAAACCAACCTTTTAGGAGTTTAAATGTCTCAAACCTCAAGTGAAAAGCGGGGTAAAAGGTGTACATTAGGCCCGAATCAACCTAGCATTCCTTAAAGCACAGTCGGGACTCATGAAGATCAGCTAGTGAATTTGTTCTAGCAAGGCATTGCAAAAGTCATGGTCTGTAAGTCACAATCTTGAATTCTATCCCGACTAGGTGTTTAGGTTCCATGTTGGCATGAAGTCTTGTTTTGGTGATTTTGCAACATAACCCTAAGTAGCCTACGTTGTAAAGGGTTTTGACTTTAGAGTGAATATAAATATATGTTTTTTATGTAAGTTGTAACATCCCAAATCGAGAAAAATAAATTAGATTGGGTTGAAAATTAGTGGAATAAATGATTTTCTTTACCGTATACGTAAATTAAAGTTGATTCCACATGCCATGGAAACTTGCATTGCAAGTTAGGAATAATTTGCAATGAAAAAGGGGTAAATTAGGGGTTGAGCAACACTAAAAAGATGTAACATCTAGGGGAATATGACCGTATCACGGGTCGTGACGTCCAAACTAGTCGTGAAGTTAAATGACTTCGTGCTAGTTAATGTTTGGCAGCGGTAGTAATGTGTTCAGTAACGAGATTGTGTTGTAGGTCATGTCGACCTGCAGATTACTATCTCTCGTTCGATAACCGATTTTGGGACTTGGAGGGGGCTTTGTTGCTCCTTGCATCGTGAAGGCAACTGCAGAGAGTAGGATGGGGCATGAACAGCCTTTAAGGGCTTGGTGACCTTCCTTCATCTCCTTCTTCCCTCAAACCCACCATCGAAGGAAACCTACACCAGAAATTCGAACTAGAAAAGAAAGGAAGTAAAGAAAGAAAGAATAGATAACAAAGTCTAACATACTCTTTGTAAGCTCACCAAGGATAAGGGGACATATACAAACCCAACTGCAGAGCCAAAATTGTCAAACCAACATATACAAAGGTCATGAAGACAATCAACTAATTGATGTGTGAGCTTGCCAATGCATGTAGGTTTGGCTAGCAGATAATGCAATCGGGGCAGGTCAATTTTTTGGTTGTGGGCTAATCCTATGCCTCCATCTTCCTTGCTAGTGACAACGTGAATGCTACACATCATGGTAAGAGGGATCTATCACACACGAACAAAACGAGTGGCACAAATCTCACATGGCTACCTAGATGCTCAATAATTCATTCCAACTTCCAAATTTCGATGCATAGTAATTGTGGCCAATGAGTAATCAATCTGAAACATCCATTGGTTCGCAAACACATGAGAACTAAATACTTACACAACACTAATGCATATATCAGTCATCATCATAGGTTGTTCTCAATCACAAACAAGTCATCCATACATCGATGTTAATAGCCACGAGATTCAAAACAAAACACCAAAAGTTCCACTATGATCATGCAAATGTAGAATTTGTTTTGCTTGGAGCCCTCAAAATTTTAGAATTTGGGCATTCGACTAGGCTCCAAGCACTCAAAATCACACCAATCATTCACACACACAAGCATAATAAAATACCCCCCCCCCCAACACACACACTTAAGCTTGACATTGGCCTCAATGGCATAAAGTCAGGAGCAATGTAGTCAAAATCGGGATTTTGTTCGTAAAATCGTAGGATTTTAGGATTTTTCTTAGGGATTTCGATCATGATTTTACTATAAAATCAGTGGACCTTAAAATTATTTAAAATCGGAATTAAAATCGTTAAAATCATACCAAAATCGGAATTTTGATCGTATGAGATCAAAATAGGTGGTTTGAGCCAATTTAAAATAGGCATAACTGTTTCGGTGCAAAGGGCAATGACGGAAATCTTTTCACATGTTTTTCTATTAGAAAAATATTTAAAAATAATAAAAATAACCAAATTAGGGCTCGGTTAATCCATTTCCCTTTGCCCTATTTAACTTATTGGTAAAACAATTGTCCTAATATTGGAAGTATGTAAGAATTAACATTATTATTAACTAATTTATTTATTAATGAATATGTTTATACCAAGACACTAGCATTACTTATTTTATTAGAGTTCAATTATTTTTAGTTTTAAATCATACTTAGTAGACGATTTCGGAATATTACTTTGAGTTAAACTACCTAGACACAACATGAAAACAAGAGGGAAACCCCATGAGCTCTATCCCTTCATCATGAATTATTTTTGAGTTATGCATTAATCTTGAGAATTATTATTTTAAATGTTATGTGTCTTTGTGTTATTAATGATTTACCCCACTAATATTCTTATATGTTATGTTCTATATGGTACATAAAATCCTACGATTTTACGATTCCGATTTTACCCCAGTTTTCGATTTTAGGTAAAATCCTGATTTTAACTGCTTTGGTAAGGAGGTAGAACAACATTATCGGCTAAAGTGTGAATGTTGGTGGACAGGATCGGAGGTCGGTGAGATCCGGAAAAGCAAGGCAACGTCCAAACACCAAAAAATCCCCAAAGGTTGTCTTATTGAAGAGAAAAGGAAACAAACTGATGGTGGTTGGGTTGCCTCCCAACAAGCGCTGCTTTAACGTCGTTAGCCGGAAGGTTGCTCCTCATGTCTTGGTCCATCCCACAACCTCCTTCAAGTTGAGGTTCTCGTAGGTGACGTGGTGTCTCATGTCACAAGCTTTGGACGAGTCCATGATTGAGGGCTCGTGAACTTGGATTGTTTTGAGGCTCCACCCAAGAGACCTCTTCTTCTCTCTTCTCTTATGATATCATCGATTGACCACCATCACATCCATCAAGAGGAATCAGTGATGGTTTGGCCTTAGCTTGGCAAAGAGCTGCAAATGGGTCCTTCTCCGAAGTGCATCGAGGTCGGGTCGAAAGCTTTCGTAGCACTTGTAACTTGTAGAAGCTTCATCAACCACGACCTCGTCCTCAACTTGGACACCACTTGCATCTTCAACCTCAACCTCCCTTCCTTCTTCCAAAATGTTTTATGTCCCTTGGGAACAACCAAGATCTTCCTCTTCTTCAATGTTCACTTCCTCCTCTTCAACCTCCTCTTTCTCCTTCCATTCATGTCTTCAAGCACGATTTGGAGGCAAGATTCCATGCAAGATCATTGAAAGGGTTCTCTTGCTCCTCTATCATTGTGACTCGGTCTTCAAAGTTGTTCATGGAAAGGGAATGAAAGTCATTAGTGCATCCTTCTTGAGCATCCTCACAATGGGAGCTCTTTGAGGCGAGTTCCTTTTACTTCACATGGTTGTCATTGATCGCCCTTTCAACCTCCCCTTTCAACTCTAATGATGAGAGGCAATGGCTTGCAAAAGTGCATGCCACCTTATCTTCTAATGTCAAACCGTGAGGATGGAGGGGTTGGAAATCCATGTGGGAGCATGCTCTTTCAAAATTTTCTATGGCAAGCTCCAATTTGGACTTCTCTTTGGGTTGTGGGAGATCCAAGTTTGAGCACCCTTCATCGGTGCCTCAGGCAAACTGCTCCACCATGAGTTCCAATCGGCTCTTTGGCTCTGGTTGTGGAGTGGCACATGGTCTTGAGTAATGCCCCATGAAGGCCTCCATTGCCAACTCCAACTTAGATTTCTCCTCGGTTTGTGGAGGAAAGTTTTCTTCGGATTTAGGTTTCGTTATCTAGCCAACCTAGAATATAGTGATTAAGAAACTAATCTAACTAAACTAACCTAACCACTACCATATCTTATTACAAGTTATGGAGCTCTCTTAGATTGAATCCCCCTAATTCTATCATTTTGATCAATGTTAGAGTACCATACAAGCTCGATCGACTAACTAACCTACCATTATGAGATCGACTGACTAGGAATTGACCCGGCACGATGAAGTGATGGATAGGTAGCTCTCTATTCAACCTAGGGGGTTCATATATCATTAGGAGGTTGATCTAATCAACTTCCTGGGGATAACCCGGAAAAAATATGATAGGAATGACCCAAAGACGCCAATAATGGGCTCTAAGGGGACTATCTCCCTCCTAAATCAAAAGCTCAATTGACATGAAGAGGAATCCAAAATCTTGCAATTCATGAAAACCATCCATCAGATAGATAAAATCATCTATAAAACATAGAATATGTCACATACATTAACTTCAAACCAAAAAAGAGAAGAGGTCTAGTTCATAGAGAGATAAGAGAGAGATTACAAAAATATCTCAAGATCTTATTTATCTTATAGGCTTGATTTTTATATGAGCACGGAACCGACACTCGTAGTTATCAAAGTAACGCATCCAAGAATAGGAATAAAAGATAGGGATATGATGGAATGGAAGTGCAATCTCACACCTGGGAGAAGGCTCTATCAATATAAGGGTAGAATCTCAACCACAATCAAGGGGGAAACTCGATTGATACAGAGAAAGAATTCACAAGCACAACGCTCAATGAACCAAAGTAAAATCAATATTCTTCAATGTCTTCATGATCTTTATCAGGACTTGTACTTTCACCTTCAACTCCAAACTCCCATTGTTTATCTTCCAAGATGAAGATACAAGCCTCCAAAGTAAGCACCCTGACACTGTTTCCACACACCCATTTTCAGCACGTCATTCTTCCACGATTGAATCATAACTTGGAATGTTTGGAAATTGATATTCTTGATGGTTATCTTGCTCACATCTGTCCCTCCCCCTTCAAAAAGTTTTCCCTCAAAGCTTGCATACCCGTACTCCTCAAATCCTTATAAGAATCAAAACAAAAAGGATCGTGATAAACCATCAACTACCTTTCCATCGTGAGCATCTCGTAGGAATCTCCATCTTTCTTCTGTGCTCTGGCAAGTTGACCGATGATTTCTTTGCTCCTAGATTTGCCTCCTCCTCCTCCTCAAAACTGGAACTCTGATGCACTAGAGAACTCAAACTCTCTTCAGTCATGGTTAGAAGCATAGCTCCCACCTTAGCCATCTGTGTTGCAAGCTGTTTCATGGGGTCCTCAATGTTTAGCTTCATGGTTTGCTTCTTTGCTATCTTCTTTCTTGCCATTGTGTTAAACCTCAAATACACAACCAAAATCCAAGATATCTTTCTTCCTTTTTTCACGTTCAGCTTTGTGGCTGATGAGCAATTTTTTCATTTTTTCCTCCGTGAACAGTACACGAAATCACAAACAATTTTTTTTTAAACAACAAAGACTGTGATGTTCTGGATACAACACCTTCTCATGGGCGTGAAACCCCTTGTTCTCCCCAGTTCGACGTGATTTCACCCCCACCATAAGCCATGTGTTTGGGTGATCCTCTTGCCATACTTCTTTAATGTATATTTCAAACTTGCAATCAACATCCTTCGAATTAGTATTCCCATGTCTCTTCTTCATAGGGTATGGCTTGTGTGACTTCTCAATCCTGCTAGATCTATCGCAGTATATAAAATATCGACCAACAAATGCTCAATATCAGTATGTGGTTTCCATGATTCCTTAATAATAAAGAATCCAAGCGATTGAACTATTCTTATTGCATTTGCCTCACCTAACTCAAAAGATGGATAGTGGATGCCAGTATCAAAGTATACAGTGTAATCGAAGCGCGGATTGAACCATTTTACATTCCTACAATTATAATAATAATAATAATAATATAACACATCAATATTAAATTCAAATCCTAAACCCTAAAAAGCTCGTCGGAAAAATTCTTCAAAGTCCACAATGAGAAAAATACTTGATTACTAACGAATGATGGTTGCATGTGCACAGAGTACAACAAATTTCAGCTTCTCCGATGTGTTTTCCGGCAAAATGTCGATTTTTATGATTTCTAAGTTCTCTGATAGTGGGTGGAGTTTTCTGAATAGTTCCCAACGCCAATTTTGTAAGTTTTTTAGTTGGCGACAAGTAGTAATTTTGTCGGTGGCAAATAACATGCCCCTAAACAAATCCTACATCCATAAAGCAAGAGAGAGATCCATGATTCATAAATTCGTAACTGGTCATAATTGACAATACACGTTTTTGAGTGAAATGGAAGAGTTCTTGTAAAGACTATGAACTTAAACGAGCTCATTATGCACTGCAAGGATATGTGATCTTATGGAAATATCTTGGCATGCACCCCAAAACCAAAACCGTGAAGGTCTAGACCCAAAATGAACAATTTCTTGTCGACAAAAGATTCAGGATGTTGCAATACGCACATCGTTTTTTCTCTGCCCGGAAATTATTTTTCCCCCCTCAAAATCACAGAAGAAATTTCGTCGTTAGATGTAAATAAATGGCCAGCATCACCGCCTCCGCTAAGGGATAACGCTCGGTCTAATCCATTATTATTAAAAAAAAATTGACTAGGACGCTAAGTTTTATGATCCTTTGCCACCAAATCTTCTCCCTCGTTAATTTGTTTGGTTGTGGTTAGACTCCAATCCACAAAACCACACATAATCGTAACCAAGAGGGAGGATCTAGTGACTAAGGGGGGTTGCTTAATCACTTGGCTAAGCCCCTCCTAGCCCTTGGATCTAGATGAAGTGATCTAATGGTGAAATTTAGGGAAAAGATAATTAAATAGTGGGAGGGGCAATTATGGGATTATAAAAAAATGCATTTAATTTTATTTATTTATTTCCCTCCAACATTCCTTTTCTGCGCTGCCAGAATCGGCCATGGGAGAGAGAGAAAAGCAGCGAAGTGGAGAGAACGACAACGATGGTGGAAGAGAGGGGAGCGGCGGCAACAATGGAGAGAGAGAAAGGAGACCTCGACGGCAGTGATGGAGAGAGGGAAAGGAGATCGCGATGGGGTGACATCGTTGGAGAGAGAGAAAGCAGATCTAGCATCGTTGTCGAGAAATCTAAGGAGAGAGAGGCAGTGGTGGAGAGAGAGCGTCGACAACGATGGAGAGAGAGGTGGTGCGACGATGGAGAGAGAGAGAGTAGGCGGCGGCGACGACGGTTAAGAGAGAGTCGGCGACGACGGATCTCTATATTTTGTCATCTGAGGGAAGAACAATGATTTATAATGATAGTGTTGTCGGTTTGTATTAATAGTACTTTTGTACGTAATGTTAGTATAATTTGTATAGTTTGTATGTTTTGTAATATTAATTTGTATACTTTATATATATATATATATATATATATATATATATATTGATTTGTGATGCAAGTTATGTCGCTTTGTATTGTTAGTACTCATATTTTGTACTCTTAGTATGCTTTGGGTACTTTGTCACTATCTTTTCATTACATATTATGATGTTTACAAATCAATCCTATAAATATTATAAAGCAGATTGATAACCATTACAAACTATAATGCCAACCATTACAAACCATACGAACAAACATTACAAACTAGACAAACAAACATTACAAAGTACATTAGGTTGTTTTTTAGGCATAAATTCATTACAAACATGGTTGACAAAAATGATAAACATCTTCGACAAAAATAATAAAGCTTACAAACATTACAAAAGAACCCGACAAACATTACAAAAATAACAAAGTTTATAAACATTACAAAACAATTCGACAACATTACAAAACATACTAACAGTACAAAATGTCACTACTTACGATTCACATCGGTAAACTTGTATTACAAATCAATGAATACAAAGTATACAAATCATAACATGAAGTATACAAACTAGACAAACAAACATTACAATTTACAATATATATACAAATTAGTCATATAAACATTACAAACATAATAGATAAAAAATAACAAACTATAATAATAAACGATGCAAATCGAATTGATACAAAATTACAAACCAGACTTAAAAACATTACAAAATAGACGTTGTCACCGGAAAACCCTCTCCGCCGCCGACGAAAAATCTGACGATGACGAAACTCTCTCTCTCTCTCTCTCTCTCTCATGAGCTTGGAGGAAAAAATTCCCCAGAACAATGGACGGAAAAATGAACTCCCCAATAATAGACAACGCCGGGAATACGGAACCTCATCGGAAAAGAAGTCCCGCCACCGGGAATATGGAACCCCGCCGGAATAAAAAGGCTTGCCGCCAGGAAGGGACCACTTGGGGGCATAAAAGCCCACGTCGGCCGCCGAGGAATTTGCTAGAAAAGGCTTGGCGGGGGGAGGGCTGAGGACAAGCCATTATTTTTATTTTATTTTAATTGTTTAATAAGTAAACTTTGTAATTGCCATATTACCCTTCATTAAACTAAATTAATTTGTACCATCAAATTTTAATGAGATTCAATGGCCGAAATTGACTTAGTCATGTGACTAAGGGACCCCCTTAGTCACTTGATCTTAGCCCCAATTAAGAAGCATTTTACTCCGTTTGCAATTAATGACAAATCACGCGATTCCATTGTTGTTGCAATTTAACTGCAAACCGTAGCCTGATTCCCAACCATGTGCTTTCCAAAGTAATATGCTCTAAAAAAGACTAGCTTATAACCCGACCCGTTGGCCAGAATGTTCATATTTTTTATTTATATTTGTATGTTACCTTTAAGTTTGTCAACCTGTTTAAGTTTATTGACAGTCCTTTGGTCTCGATGATACATAAAGAGTATAGGTTAAAAATTCGGAGAAATACCTTAATCGTTTAAGAATATAAAAATGAATCCTTATTCTCGCTTGCATAATGATAATTAAGCTCTCATTAAAATGCTATTGGTTGGTTGATTGCCAAGAAAGAGTTTAAAAGCTCACTGGAATTCCACACAATACATGGATAGTTTGAAACGAAATCAAAACCTCACAACCTACATAAAGGGTTCAATGCTCTCATTTTCAAGCGATATGCCACTAATCAAAAGATAAGAAAAGTTACCCTCAAGTCAACCATAAACTAACAACTCACTAAACGGAGACCATCAAAACTTCATACCAATCGAAAAAAATTAGGGTAATAGGTTGGATCAAAGTAATAAGCCACAAAATTAAACACTCCTTATCTACTGCTTGCAATAGCTTGAATAGAGAATCATCCTCTACTTCAGTAAATCAATTAGTGATTCCTAGTCTTAAGAATTGACATATATAGGTTATAGTAGTTGCAATAACCGTAACACCTAAAGATGTAATAGCCAACACTCTCTGTTGTACAACTAACTTTTTATCCCCTCTATCTTCAATCTCAAGAGGCATCTGCTTCAACCCAAAATGCACTTTCAACTTTAATGGACCTTCTCTCCGGTACCCTCAAAATTTTCTCCAATTTGGTTTCTTTCAACTTGCTCTCCAACTCCTAAATCCTCCTCTTGTATTTGGCCAACTCATCTTTCTCAGGGGGCAGTTGTAATAAGCTCGGTAAAATCGATATTCTTCTCCAATTCAATCAATATGCACATCTTTCCCATCTCCACTTACACCTTCTCCAGTCCACTTCCATGCCCTTCAATACGCTCTCCATTTCCATTAACCTCCCGTCATCTTTCCCTTCTATCTGTACACCTGCTCCAAATTTGCTTCCATTTATTTCAATACCCTCCTCAATTTGATCACTACCTTCGCCAACTCACTCTTCTCTGCCTTCACAATTCACATGTTGCAGTCTCCTGCCATGCCTTTAACACACCTTCCAGAAAATGATAATCAACGAACCAATATCAATCCATGGTTTCGGATCAGTTTTAAACTATCTATGCATAACAATCTTACTCTAAATATCCTTTCAATTAATCATTAACTTTAATTTATCAAAATCTACTCCTTCACGAAGCTAAAATCTCATCCCCGAACTCAACTTTCTTATTCACTTGATCCTACAAAACCATGATTTTATATCTCCACCTAAAAGAAATTAAAATATTTTACCAAAAGAAATCAAACCTTAAACTTTAGCTACTACCAAAGCTATTAAGTTTTGACGAAGACCAAAAATCCATTCATGTTCAAAGCCTGGTATGTGAAAAGGAGTAAAGGCGGAAGATATAACTGATCAAACATCGTCTTCAGTAAGAGAAGTATCAAAATATTTCTTCTGTTAGTTTATCGAGGAGAGATAGAACCTTTGGGAGATGCCGGTACGGAGGAATCGATATAGATAACTAAGTCATACCGCAACTACTTGATTGAACTTCATTCTATTCGCCATGAATTGATATCGAAGTTGAAATCTTCTACTTGCCCATCTTCAATCCACAATCTAATCAAAATGTCAAGGGATACCAGAAGATCAATTTTCAAAGAGAAAAAAATTAAAGTTTTGCCCTTTAGCACTCCACTGGAGAAAACCACTTTTGAGATGGTCTTAGCCTTATAATTTCATCTCAAATTTATTCTTTAATAAAACTACCAACAAACCGACTGTACTCTACACAATAATAGTCATAAATAAATACTTTTTTTTTGTGTAAATAAACACATACTTTAACTCTACCTACGGAAATAAACTCTTTTAACTCTAATCTATTGACCTCAATAAACCGAAGATCATACCCACCAATATTGCTAATATAATCGAAATCCTAAGATGTCACATAAGGAAAATACAGTGTTGGATAACACTACTTCCATCTAGTCTATCATAGAGCACGTAACTCTGGATTTATATTTTTTGTATAATCAAAATTGACTTCTTAATTTTGAATTAGGCTAGATTATAGGGTCGAGATTATTATTTTTATTTTTTCAATATTTTATTTACTCATTTATATTTTTTTGTTTTAACTTGATTTTTTTTTTTGCATAGATGGAAAGTTCATTGAGATTTACAAAATTATATATGTTTTTCTATTTCTTCCATACTGATACTTTACAACTCTTATGTAAAATAAATATCAATTACGTAAGGGTTAATACCTTATTTTAGCCCGAACTATACCTAAACTTTCTACTTGGGCCCATGGTTTCTGAAATTGCTCCCATGGCCCGAACTATCATCATACTGCCTTGCTTGGCTCGACGCGGGTTTTGACCGCAAATTGGACGGTCAACTCCATTGACCGTTAGTCAAATGTCAGGTCACTTGCCACGTCAGCGAACCCGAAATAAAAAATTTAGATTTTTAATTTATTTAATTCATTTTGTTTTGTAATACAATAATAATTAATGAAAAAAATAATTCAAATTTTGGATAGCGAAAATAATTATAGAAATTCAAAATTTTCTATTTTGGGTTCGCTGATGTGGCAAGTGCCATGGCGCTTGACTAACAGTCAATGGAGTTGACCGTCCAATGTGACGGTCAAAACCCGCGTCATGCCAAGTAAGAAAGTATAGTGCATAGTTCGGGCCAAGGGAGCAATTTCAGAAAACACGGGCCAAAGTAGAAAGTTTGTGTATAGTTCGGGCCAAAATAAGGTATTAATCCATTACATAGTTGTTACAAACTAACAATTCTCTATTACCCAATAATTAAATTAGAAGCGTTAGGTAAGGCTTGCATAATGATTAAACAATTTACGTACAAAAAAGTATAATATTCATTACATAAATGACTTTCAATTACGTAAGGCTTCCTTAATGACATTTTACAACTATTACGTATAATATACATTTTAACGTAACAATTTAATTATAAGCATTACGTAAGTCTTCTATAATGACCTAGAACTTTACGTAACTCGCGGTTAATGTTCATTACGTAAAATATCCATACATTACTTAAGGCTTTTGTACGTAATGACACTTTACAACTGTTACGTAAAATACACGTTAATTACGTAAAGCTTAAGGAACACCAGTTTTCCTATGTAATTGTTAAATCAAAAGTGTTAACTAAGGAAATATTTTTTGCATTTATTTTCTTTAAATAACACGTGAGAATGGGTTGACCCGTCCCGCCCTGCCCCATATCCGCACGGATATCACCTAACATGTCCCGCGTTTGGTGTGGGACGGTGCGGGTATCTACTCATACTCGCCTCGCTTCACCCGTTGGTAATCTATAAGCATACAATATCTAACCATTACTTAATGTTTATTGTGTTTTACGTAACGCGACTCGTGAAACTTTATAACATATGAATAATTTCAAGTTATCTTACTTCAAACTATCATAGAAATTCTTAATAATTTAAGATGTCAGGTTTCTTTATACTACATAATTACTCCATTAATATGCCATTAATGACACTAATTATGGTAATAAAAAAATGACACTAATTATGTAATAGTCCAACTAAAAACACTAATGCGTTTTCTCCTTTCAGAATATGAGCCCGGCCCAAATCAGTTTATTTTGAGGGAGGGAAAAACGGACAATAATCTTCCAGATGTATAACAACATTCACATTGTTATTGTATTTTCAATTACAAAATAACATGATATAGGTGTTTGTAATTGTAAAATCAATTGCATTGATGTGGCTACCACTTGCATATTTGCAAGTTTGCAACACATTCAATTTCATATGCAAGTCAAAAAAGCCTTAAAAAATGGAGATTTTTTTTCTCTTTTTACTTAATTTTCTATAATTTAAACATAATATTTAATTACATTTGCAATTGCAAGTTAATTGTTAATTGCATTGATGTAGGTGAATGAAATGGATGTGATGTGGATTGCAAAAAATTTGAGTTGACAATAAAAAAACACAAATGCAATTTGCTTTGCAGTTGTATTGATAGAGATGCTCTAATATATAAATCAGCCTTTCGATAGTTGCGCAGGAACCCAGAAATTTGAAATGGGGCATCCTTTTTCCCTTTGTGCTATTTATAATAGTGTAGATTCTATAATTTCTCCAACTGAAGCTCCCTCCGGAGTAGGGATGGCAATCAAACCCATGCCCACGGGTATCCGACCGCCCCCGACCCAGTCAACGCGGGGAATTCCCGCTTTGACTGGGTATGGGGCGGGTATGGGTAAAACCCGCAAAATGTTTGATGGGTACGGGGCGGGTATAGTTTTAGCCTCCCCCGCCCCATACCCATACCCATACCCGCCCCACCAAGAATATTTGTTCACATATAAAAAATACATGGATGAAATAGTAATCTATCAATGATAGTGAGGGTAAATAAAAAAAAATAATTAGTAGAAATGCAATTGAGTGGTCACCCAAATCAAAACCTAATTCCTTTTCCTCAACTCTCTCTTCACTCTTTCACTTTTCCCTCGTATTAGCAAGATTATATTAGTTCATTATTGCTTAGTATATGTATTAGAGTCGGATAAATAATGATTTGGATTATATTGCAGTACTCTATTTTATGGATTAAGGAAAATTTTAGGATAAAATGCTTTGAACCATATTAAGAATTATTGTCACTTTCTCGACTTCATGATATAATATGTGTCTTTAATGTTATAATTGAAAATTTACATGTAAAATTTTATGTATTATAATGTTGGATGTACGGGACAGGTATTATCATGGGTACCCGAAACCCACGGGTATGAGGATGGGTATGCAAAATCTTCCCCCGCATGGGTATGGGGCGGGTATGGGTTTGGATATTTGAAAGCGGGGATGGGAATGATTTAGGCAAACCCGCCCCAAACCCGCCCATTGCCATCCCTACTCCGGAGAGGAGGTTGGTGGAATTAATGAAATTCCGGGCGGCGGGCCCAGATAAATTGACGCACCCACGTTGTAAGACTTGCCAGTCAGTCTCTACGTAGACGACCATCCCTTAGCCAAGCATAACATGGCGCCCACCACCACCATCTCCCCGCCCCCGTTATATAAACACTTCCTTCCCAGCCAGATTAAACCCTCGACTGCCATAGAGAAAAGAGCAGAAAAAACGCAGAGAGGGAGAGAGAGAGAGATGAGGACTCCAAGGAACTGGTTCAGCAAAGTTGGAAGGAAACTCCTCAGTCCTTCCCGCAGAAGACAAGACGTTGTTCTCCACTCCAACGCTTCCTCAACAAGCCAGCACGACGATTTAACCACAGCATGCCACAACATAGTCATGGACAATTCGCAGGGCTGCTCACTCCCCTCAAACACGCAGCACTCGGCCGCCCTGAAAATCCAAGCAACTTTCAGGGGTCATCTGGTACGCTTCCCTTCTCCCACAATTCATAATGCAAGTGTGTATCAGCGCAGCAGCAAAAAAAAAAAACTATGATCAGCTGACTTGACTTGGTAAAACATTGCAGGCGAGACGGGCATTTGGGGCGCTGAGGAGCTTGGTGAAAGTGCAGGCAGTGGCTCGTGGGGCCTATGCGAGAAGACAGTCGCAGTTAGCTCTGAACTGCATGCGCGCCCTTGTTCGCTTACAGGTCCGAATTAAAGCCAGACAGCTCCTCGGACCATCCACCACCTGACTACTCAATGCATGAGAGTGCATTTGTGTGGATTACATACATCCCCTCCCCCTCAATTGTTTATTAGCTTAGCAAGTCAATGAGAAAAAAATTTCCCAACCCACTCCACTAGTGGATGTTGAACATCAAGAAGCTACTTCAAGGAAAATAAGACGAGACAAAGCCGGAAATGCACCAAACCGAAGCTCTGTACTAGTATGTACAGTTGCACCAAAAAGAGAAGAAAAAAAAACACAGATTATTTCTTATCATGTACCGATGATCCCGCTTTTCCAGTTTCAGTTGTGGCCTCTCTTGAGAGACGAGAAAAAACCACCAGAGGTTCGATCCTTACGACGACCTTCCTTTCCCTCTCCAACCTGTTTCCAACCGTTAAAAGAGGTTGGTTTCTCATTCTTGCAAGTTCAGACCTGAATCAAAAAAGATCCTAACAACACTATTAACCATTTACCTCTTTGGCGATTTTCTGAAGGATATCTATGATTTCACAGAAGCTGGGCCTCTGTGTTGGGTCTTGTTTCCAGCATTTCTCAAGAAGCTCCGCCAGTCTTGGTTGAGTCTGTTTTGGAATAGTAGGTCGCAAACACTACAGCAAGCAAGGTTATAATAATCGGCATCATCGAAGACAGGCCTGGAAAGTTCAACGTATCCAACTAGTAGTATGTATGTTTATTTGTTAAAAGTACCTTTTGCACCACGCCCACAGCTGCTTGCAATGGGGTTAGGTATGCGTACGGGAGCTGGAAGTAAGATTAATAGAACCTGGTTCAGCCAGGTTTCCAACAGAAGCAGCAATCATAAAGAAATAATTCTAGTTGCAAGTTTACCTCTCCGGTTAAAAGCTCCCACAACACTATTCCAAAACTGAAAACGTCTGCCTTGTGATCGTATGGCTTGTGTTCAATCACCTTCACCCAGTTAAATATATCTGTAAGTAAGAGCATGCTCAACTCAAAACAGCTATACTCTGAAAAGAGTAAGATATTTTATTTATCTCCAACAAGTTACATGCCTCAGGAGCCATCCACCGGTACGTCCCAGTTTCAGCAGTCATTACTCCAGATTGAGTCTGTACTCTGGCAACTCCAAAATCAGCAACCTTAACTACCTGTATCAAGAATCAATAAAGAAACTGAATGAATAATGAAATCCACATATGTAAAAGAAAACTTAGGCCCTTAGGCTGGCTGGTCAAGGAGACAATTTTGCAGACGATATACTGGTGGGTGATGATGATCTTACTTCGTTCTCGTCCATTAGTAGATTGGCCGTCTTCAAATCCCTGTGAATTATACTATTCTGGTGGAGATAGTTCATTCCCTTGGACACATCTATTGCAACTTTGATTAACGATGGAAGTTTGAAGACGCCATTCTGCTTATGCAGAAAATCATATATACTACCTCTTGCCATGAATTCTGACAAGCCAAAACACAGAGCAAATATCAGCGAACAGAACATAAAAATTTCAGCCCAAAAAATGAATCCCTGGAATACCAATTGCATTTTTACCAAGATACAATGGTCGACTATATGCAAAGGTAGTGACAGATTCAATATTCACAATTCGCATAGCTCAAAGACCTCCATAACTCCTAATTTACAAGTTAAAATGAGTAAACGTAGATGTCAACAAGGCCACCTGTCACAATACACAAGTTTGGAGGCTGAGTGCACGCTCCGATGAACTGCACAACGTTCTTATGTCGGACTTTCCTGCAAATTAATTGAGGTAATCAAAATGTTATGTAAAGAGAACAGAGCAGAGACCACCACGACTCAGAAAGAGGAAATATGAGCATTCAGCAAGAGAAGCATTATGCATGATGTAGCATGTTGAGCGAAACAATGCTGATTAATTGTATCCAATCTAAAGACCATTTACAGGAACACAAACAGTGATTCCATTTCATTTCTCTTCTTCAGATTATTTTATTTCCCTCCATGAATCCAAGCAGAGTATGGAAATAAACGATAATAGATGGTGCAGAACGTTAGCCCCACCACAAATAAAGTCGAACAAACTTAGCCATTCACAGACCTCATTATATAAACTTCTTGAGAAAACTCTCTAAGCATTTCGGCACTGACACGCTCTGGCTTTAGAACTTTGACAGCCACTTCCTGACTGCAATACATGCCTTTGTATCTGAAGAAATTTGAAACCAATTAATTAATAGGAAACTTGAAAAAACATCTTCGTGTCACTTCACAAAATATAACTTACAGATCGCCATACGCTCCAGATGCCACTTTGTTTTCAACTTTTATCTGACTGGCATCAATTTCCCAGACATCAGTGCCGTCACTTGGTATTTCTATGCAACCAGGAAGTGGTACAATCCTCGTGTTATTAACAATGCTGATAGTGGAAATAGAAGGCTGTTTCGAAACTTGCTGTTCCTGCTGGAAAATTTTGAAAATAAAAATTAAAAATATGCCAGAGATAGCATGAGGTGATGCACCACATGGCAATTGATACTTGCTACTACAATATGGTATTACATCAAAAGTATACATTCTAAGATAAGAACAGTTGAAATTCAAAACTCATATCTGTAACTGGATTAATTGCTCTAGTCAAATAGGATAAGGTAAGTTGTCCTGTTTAAAACTCCACATCACAACAAAGACAATACTTACGGAAGTGGTAGTATAACTAAATTACGCCAGTAATGCGGGTAATGAGTTCCTCTCCATCTGGGTATCCCAGGCAAGAAACTAAAGGAGAAAAGAGCTGTGACTGCAAAATGTCCATGAGATTGCATGTTCCTCGTTTCCAACTCAAGGTTGAAGAAAGAGAAGAAAAAAAAAAAGACTAATAACCCTAGAAAAAGAAAGGTGCAGGTTCTTTGGACAGTGAAGAGACTGGCGTCCCTAAGAAGAAACTCTGCGGATATCTGAATTCTGCTATTCCAAAGTTTTGAAAGCTATGAAGCATATTGAGGACCATCTTGTGAATCAATAATATAATCATGAAGAAGCATACGAAGCAGTAAGCACATCAAGGATTGAATAAGCTGTGACCTCTACCACCCCATAACAAGACTGTAAAAACTAGATTTATCTCATAGTTCTCCTTGTACTTGTGATTAGCTCTCCCTCCTTTTGAAAAGATTTTTACATCTGTCAAAAGTTCACATCCTTGCCAGTTCCCACAATCACTGGCAAAGAAAGAAGGACCAAGAAAGAATTACATAGATGCATATAAAAGGAATCAATACAGGATATGTTAAACTTCAAAGAATCTTTAGAACAATGCATGAGGAAGTTGCATTAAGTAACTGTTCCACAAACAGCAGAAAACCCAGTAATACACTACTGTACCAGGGTGAGATACGCATGTAGAAAAGGAATGGCCATCTGCCTGTATTTAATTTTTAGGTTATTAGTGAAAAAGAGTAGCTCTTTGCCACCAGTTGGTGCTTCAAAAGTCACGATGAGCTGAAAAAAAGCATATGCATCCTCCTCCTCCAAAATCAAACTAGCTATAGATATTGAAAGTGTCCTTCAGGACATAACAAAATATATGAGTTATCTACCTTAGACTTCAGAATTTCCTTCTCCAAAGAATTTCTAAGCTCCTCAGTCTCCTGGTGTTAATAAGAAAAAGAAAAGGATCGTAACTTTGCTACATGTGAAGGTATTTCTCAGACAAAACTGGCAGCAATTAGCAAGCAAATGATTGTACCTCATGAGGCCAACCATCCACAACGAAGACGTCCAGGGAAAACCCATCAACAGTAGAAAATGCATGGGCCTCTTGGATATTCAAACCAACTTCAGCAAGCAGGGAAGTCAACTGGAACATTATATATCAGTATAAATTACTAGCCCCAACACGACGAAAAAGTGGGAGTGAGAGAGACTAAGAAGAATAAAGGAGAAGGCAAACCTGACTAAGGAGTTTAGGCCTGTCTACTGTCGAAAAGGTGATCTCATGCATGGGCCTGTAGGATTGCGATGGTATAGTGAAACTCAAAAAGAAACTAACAGATATTGGCAAGACTAAGATGAATGAAAGAAACAATATAGGGCACGGGTCTTCTAGCCGGTTCATTATATCATCACCATGAACATACAACATTCTTACAATTAAAGTCGATGAAGTTTAACTTGGTGACAACAATCAATGAAGGCAAGAGCCTAAATACTTGAAAGTCCATACCTGGCCTGGTTTGATGTTGAGTTTACAGCGCTATCACCATCTTCAACATGATATCTATGTGTGAGAGCTTCAAGATTAGATGATGAACCAAATGTTGGAGGAGCGTGGGTACTGCCAAGAGGAAAAAAGAAAGCACATAAATCAGAAAAGGGCACAAGTTGAGAGTTGTACTACTAGCAGGGATGAAAAAAGTGGTACAACAAAAGTATACTAGCAGCAAAAAGGAGTGAACATACGCTTGTCTGCTTGATAAATAAGAACTTTGAGCATCTTCTATCAGTGAAGAATCTAAATGAATGGAGTCAAGAGCTTTTCCATTTGAGACAGGAAACACCTGTAGAAGCAAGAAGAAACAAGGTAATATCTATCAAGAACCAATGGCGCAAGTTAGGCGAAACCCGCGAGCCTGAGCATTTCCAAGGACTAAATGCTAGAGGATATCTGATATACTAGCCCAATAAAAAGAAAAGAAAAGAAAACATGGATTGGAAGGTCCCTTGGGGGAAATCCGACAGAATTGAAATATGGACTGGAAGTGCTCACCTGCACCAAACGAACTTCAAATGCAGGTCGATTAGCAGGATCTTCTGCCAATTGGAGCAGTCTCTTGTGAGTAAGCACGTCTTCCGCCCTCTCAACATTAACGTCTAGAGCGTAGCTGTCGTAACATATAAAACAAAAGAAGGAAGAAAGGAAGAAAAAAAGCATTCAACCGGATCAAATATGGATTTTAAGCTGAATTAGCCATGGATTTCGAATCTTCAAAGAACGAATACACAATGGCAAGGCAGTAAAATAGGAATTGCTGAACTGAAATTCGAGACCCGCTATTATCTGACAGCACAGTCTGATCATCGATCCCTAGGTTCACATGATGCAGAAGTAATCGAATAGATGAAGAAAAGCAGACGAGACGAGTGTGAAGCCAACATGCAAGAGAAATGGAGATAGGGGGAGGGGAAGGGGGGGAAATCGGAAAGAGGGAGGCGCGAGTGTACCGTGCAGGTAAGCGATTGAAATGAAGCCAGAGCTGATCGTCGAAGCCAGGGAGATTGGCGTCTTCGTGAGCGGAATCCTGAATTCTGCGGAGAACCTCGTTGTAGACCTCCAGCTTCTGCCTGTGATGGCGAGGATTGATGTGCGAGAAAGAGTCGGCCGCTCGGCTGCCGCAGCTCTCCACGTCCTCCTCAATGGCCATATTGTTGTTGCTGTTGGAAAATTATTATGATAACACTAGGCAACCGCCGGCGCCGCCGCTTATCTCCGACGAGGAGCCAAGGGGGAAAAAGAAAAAGAGATTGAATTCAAGGGGGAACACTGGGCGAGTACAAAAACAAGGGCAGGGATTGAATCAGACTGCAAATTCAATTCAGGATTGAAAGTGCGAACAGGGAAAAAGGAGGGACAAAAGCTCCAATTAGCCGAGCGCTAAAAAAGCCATCGCGAGAGAGAGAGCAGAGCAGAGCAGAGAATCATCCATCGTGGTGATGCTTTTGGAGTGTTTGTTGTACTTTGGAGTATTTGCGTTGCGTTCCGTTGCTCACTTTTTTTGTTTTAATTATTTATTTCGGGGTTTTTTTTTTCCATGGCGCTTGCCCTCTGAAGAAGAAAAGCAGCAGCAGCCAAAAAGTAAACAGATTATTGTTTGTTGTTTGCATCGGGGTTTGGATGGCAATCCCACGTCATCAGGTGGGGTCCATGAGAAGGCAGGCTACTAGCTCCATGGCGGCTTGAACTGTCTGTCTCTCCGCCCATTTTAACTGCCCTTTCATTGGATCAGCGATTGAGCCTATAAGACTAGATGGGGCAGCATAGTCAGCGCCATGTAGACTTTCTTTTTTTTTTTTTTTTATTCTTACTACTATTATTATTTATTTTTTCCGTTTAAGAACCAAGTACGTAGCATGGTAAAGAAAACCGTACCGAAAGTCATACCGGATCCGTCAGTGGTAAGATATTTTGTGGTACTACCGTGGTTCAATCGTTGTGTACCGACAAAATACTGTTTTTGTAATTAAAAAATATTTTTTTGTTAAAAAACCGTACCGACAGATTCATGATACCGTTTCGGAGTAACACCGGAATAAAATCGGAATATACCGGATAACAAACATGAATAAACTAAATAGCCCCATTTGTTATTTTTAATGTCTTGGACCTGATGCATAACTTCAGATTAGTCTGATCATTTGACTAACTTCATGAGAATAGCTCATAGGATTCGCAACAACAGGGGTTGTGCTTCACTTTTAGAGCGATAGGAGTTCATCTACTATCTTATTCTAGTTTCATGGTAGAGCTATGAACCTCTAAGCTCCTCGGCTAGTTGAAACCAATTTATCTTTCACAGCTATAGGAGAACTGAAACAGAAAGACACATATAACATATAATACAGCTCGCTGGCAAGAAAAAAAAAACGAAATTTTCTCTCACTTCAGCTTCAAAATTGGATATGAACCAAAACAGATAGGCGAGGCACGCCGGCTGAGGAGTAAGAGAGGGAGAGGCGAGATGCGTACCGGCTGAGGAGCAGGAGAGGGAGAGGCGAGGCGCGCCGGCTGAGGACTGAGGAGCGACAGAGCAGTGGAGCTGAGCAGCGTGGCGGCGGATATCCTTTCGTCGGTCTCCACTCGCCAGAGAAGATGAACGTCGATCGCGGAGTAGGACTCAGGTCTGCGGGTCACTTTCGCGCGCCGATCGCGGATCGCTGGTTGCAGGCCGCAGGCTGTAGGCGGCCAGATGAGATGAGGAGCGGCGGAGCGGGGCTGCGTGTCCTCTGGCTCTGGAGAAGAAAGAACCAGGAAACGAAAGCTCCAAAGGCAAATTTTCGATACATTAGGTTTTTTGGGTTTTTGGCTTTCGGCCATTTTTTTTTTTATGTGCTGAAAACGAAGTAGTGTTTGTTCATACAGCTTACCGCCGGTTAGACCAAAACCGGGCAATTTTTTGTTTTGTGCCGGTTAAACCAGCAAAACCGGTCAGCACGATAATCTTCCCACAGCCAGCCTGTCATATCGTTCCTGGTCCGGTTTTCGGTTTTACCAGTTGAACCGACTGGTACGATCCGGTTTCCTGGTCCATGGTACGTAGTCATTTAGCTTGCCTGGTGGATGGAGGCGGGTTTTGTCAGGTAATATTTTACTAAATAATAAATATCACCTTTCCAAACCATTTGCACAAATTTTATCACAACTTCACAAGTGATCGACAAGAAATATATTATATTAATCACGAGTGGAATTTGGAGCATTTCAACAACTAGGAGATCCAATAAAAAGTATAAAAATCACAAATAGTTTGGCACACATAAAATTGTTAGTAAAGACTAAAGATAATCAAATAGTTCACGGTGACATTGGTTTATTCCCTCTATTATTGTGAATTAATAAATGTGTCATGTACTATTATTTTGCACAACTTGTTTACTCGCCGTTAACGAAGGAGAGTAATGACCCAATTACCCCTTCTTAATATTGAATTTAATTTTGTAGCAAGTACAATCGAATTAAAAATGGATAAATGCCACATTTGGTCACTGAGATTACTAAATCGTGTCATGTTTAGTTACTAGAAAATTTTAATATCATTTTTGGTCACTCGAATTACTGAAACAGGTCACATTTAGTCACTCTCTCGTTAGTTTCTGTCCAACTCCATTAATGGATTGGACGGAAACTAACGGTAGAGTGACTAAATGTGACATGTTTCAAGTAATTCGAATGACTAATGTGACATGTTTCAGTAATTCGAGTGACGGAAGTTGGATGGAGGCTAACGAGAGAGTGACTAAATGTGACCTGTTTCAGTAATTCGAGTGACCAAAAATGATACTAAATTTTTCTAGTGACTTAACATGACTCGATTTAGTAATCTCAATGACCGAATGTGGCATTTACCAACAAAAAAAAACTAATCCCTACGCATTCTTCCTTCTATAGTGAGCACACCGTCCAATCCGCCAGCGCCGACCATCATCATCTCCAACGCCAACCTTATACCGATTGTGGAGAAGAAGATGTCAAGCCGAAATCAGATCGACAAAGAAGCGGTTGGGACGAGCAAGAAGCTAGACTGACTCGGTCTCTGTTTAGATGGCGGGAGAAAGGATTCCTTGAGGGTCGCCTGAGGGAAGCTCATACGACCCTGGGGGTGTATTTTTATCAAAGTAACGCAGCAAACAATCAATCCGACGATTGATTAAGCTCGAATCAAGAACAACGCGTTCTTCATACGAAATTGGAATAAAACGGAACCAACGGACAATTCCACACCTGGGGAAAGCTCGTATGGTATAAAAGGGTATCTGCTCGACCATGATCGAAGAGAATATTCAATCGATACAAAGCTCACAAGCTTGGAATCCACCAAACTCAAACAAGTCGCAACTTGCACAAAACCAAATGGTTTGTTTTTCGATTAATCAAAGTATTTTTTTTACAAAGAAAACTAGAAGGTATTTAAGGGAAAATAAACCTAATACAATCCTAATAGAACTAGGAAACAATTAAGGTGAAAGTCTACACTAAAAAGGACACAAATTTCGGGTTTAAACTCCTTTTCTTGAAGCACAAGCAAGCTGCCAGCAAAACAGTCAAAAGGCAGCTTTCGTACTAACTTCACGCCTTTCATTCAAGGCCTTCTAGAACTCCAATCCTTCACTCAATTCCTTCCCTTTGTACATAAACATACCTAGTTTCGCGTTGTGGAAGCCTTTGGACTTGAACAAGATCCATGCTCCTCGAATTGAGCTCCAAAGTAGGCTTCACAAAACAGTTTTTTGCCTTGGCAGTTTTCCAGTTTTTAGGTAGCAATTTTGAGGCTTTGGAAAAAAAACCTTAATGACATCTTCTGGATCCAAAAAGCATACCATTGCAAACATGGCAACTTTATCTTTAAAACAATTCCTTGATCTCCAATTTTCATTGAGCCATTTGTGAGATACAAGCTTCCAAAGTAGGCTACCTGAAACTGACTCAATACTTAACCAAATTCTGCCTTTCTTTTTCCCAACTTCAATAGCTTCCTCGACAAGTAATTTAAACGTGTAGAGTTGGCTATTTGGGATCATATCAGAAGCTCTCAGTGCAGGTTGCGGCTTCGGCTTCGTCGACGAGAAAATGAATTAGGATGGGGTGGGGTTTTCGCGACAGTATTAGACTCAAAGGGAGAGGGATTTTTTATATTTATTACAAAATATTTGGGCGGATTTCATTAGAAAATCGAAGGGCCGGGATAGTAGCTGATAATCATGAGTCATCAAATAGTAGCTGTTCGCGTCTCGCGATTTGGGTCTCGAATATTTGTCTTTCAATTCCCTTCTTCGTCAACGAGCAAGTGGGTTTTCAGGTCAGGGCCTTGGCACTATCATGGTAACCAGCTGTATCTTCGGAAGTGGACTCCAGGCATTCAGCCGGTGACTCCGCTGGTTGAATCGCTCCCTATCTGGGTTACACTTGGGGGGGTCCCGCTGGAGTATCACTCGATTGATGGCCTGGAGTGGATTGCCATTACCCTAGGTCCCCCGCTCTGGATGGACAAAGCTACTAGGATGGGGAGTCAACTGGGATTCGCAAAGGTCTGCGTGGATCTCTCAGCAGACTGTGGTTTCCCGTCTAAGGTTCGGCTCTATCCAGATGATGATCCAGGGTTCGAGGTCTTTGTTGAATATTTGAATCTTCCTAGGGTGTGCCCTAGCTGCCAGGTTTATGGGCATGATTGTTCAATTCTGGCTAACAGTACAAAGAAGTGGGTTGTCAAAGGTGAACAAGGGGCTTCCTCTGTCTCTGCGAATCTGGTTAGTGAGAAGGTAGATGCACAGGTGGTTTCTGAAGTTTCTGTGGAATCCCAGGCTGAAGTGATTGAGGGTGCTACTGGTGGGAATGTAGTCTCAAAGGGAAAGGAGGTGGTTAAGAGTGAACAGGAAGTACTTGGCTCCCAGTTGGTTGGAAACGCGACTGTTCGATTTGTTGATGTTGTGATCGGATCATCGGTTCAAGTTGGAAGTCCTAGTCAGGTGCTACAACAGCCACTGGGGTCTAGCTCGCCAGAGTCAGGGAAAGTTGTATCTCAGTCACCCCCTGAGGCTCAAGTGAAGGAGCCAAATCCTTGGATTGTGGTGGGAAGTGCTAAGCAGAAACAGGCTACTCCTTGCAATGCACCAATTCTCCCTCGTAAAGGTGGGAGACCTGGTAAGAAAAGATGAAAATTCTCACTTGGAATGTCCGAGGGTTTAATGACCCGGACAAGAATAAGGCTGTTAGACAGCTAATACATAGATATGATATAGATATCCTAGTTATACTTGCCTAGAGTTAGACAAAATAAAGCTGCTGATATGATAAATAAAAGGTTCCCTGGTTGGGAGTTTACGGTAGCTAGTAACAGTAATGGTTTGGGGAAGTTGTGGTTATTGTGGAAGCCTGATATAGTGCTTACAGTCATGCATAAGACTGATCAATTTATCCACCTTATGGTGGCCACTGGAAGTCCTTTCTTTCTCTCGGTGGTTTATGCATCTAATGAGGAGCAGGGGAGAAGGATCATTTATAGTGATTTGAAAGGCTTCAAGATTAGTTCAGCTCCCTGGGCAGTTTTGGGGGACTTCAATGCTATCGGGGACATAAGTGAGACTTCAAATTCACCTCATTTCTCTAGTAGTATGATGGACTTTAGGCAATGGCAATATGATTGTGACTTTGAGGAACATAAAGTTGTTGGTCCGTGGTTTACTTGGATAAACAAACAAGTTGATAATCCAATTGCTCGAAGGCTGGATAGGGTTTTTGTTAATGTGAAGTGGCTTGGGGATCTTGTGTCGAGCACTGTTGAATTGCTTGATCCTTTAGTTTCAGATCACTGTCCTGTCTATCTGAACACTGATAGCTCAGTTAAGTCCCTGCCTAAACTATTTAAGTTTTTCAAGTTCTGGATCAAACATCCTCGTTTTCTTGATCTGGTGAAGGAGGCCTGGTCGAAGCAAGTGGATGATGGTTCACCTTTGGTTAGAGTCTGTAAGAAGCTTAAAATCCTCAAGGGACTTCTGAAGAGATTGAACAAGGATGTTTATTCTGATTTGAGTGAATGAGTCCGCTTGAAGGAAAGTGAATTATTGGGGGCTCAGGCTGAGGCTCTCAAGTCTCCAGCTACTGATACCTTTGCAGAGGAGATCAAATTGTCTAAAGAGGTCAAGGAGTTAAAAGATGCTGAGGAATCCTTTTTTAGACAAAAATATAGGGAAATCTGGCTCAAGGAGGGTGATTCTAATACCCCATACTTTCATAACTCTGTTAAGAGTAGGCAAAAGAGGAACATGATCAGATCATTGTTGGATGAATCTGGAAATAGGGTTACTGATACTGAAGGGATGTCCAAAATTGCTGAAGATTTCTATAGGAAATTACTGGGGGAAAAGGATAAAGAAGTGATTCCTCCTGAAGTTTCACAGTTAAAAGCCATACTGATGAAAACTCTGCCTTCTGAAAAAGGGGAGGAGATTTGTTGTCCTGTTACAGTTGAGGAAGTTAGATCAACTATATTTGGTTTTCATGGGGAGAAATCCCCTAGCCCAGATGGATTTTCTGCCTGTTTTTTCCAAGTTGCCTGGAGTGTCATTGGTGAGGAGGTAACTAATGCAATTCTCTATTGTTTCAATGACTCTAGTATACCTGTGAGTATTAATTCAACTCTGCTTGCCCTTATTCCTAAAGTCCAGAACCCTGAAGATATGAAGTTTTTTAGACTCATATCCTGTTGCAATATTCTTTATAAGTGTATTGCTAAAATCTTAGCCACCAGACTTAGTACTGTTATGTCTAGTCTCATTAGTGAATCCCAGACTGCTTTTGTCAAGGGAAGGGTTATTGGGGAAAACATTCTCCTTGCACATGAACTTGTTCAGAAGTATGGTAGAAAGAACATTTCCCCTAGATCTTTAGTTAAGGTTGATCTTATGAAGGCCTTTGACTTTGTTGACTGGAGGTTCCTCTTTAATGTTTTACAAGCTATGGGA